ATTAACCAGAAAAATAAAAATTGCCTAAATCTTTACCTAACTATGAAATTACGTCAAAACAAAAAAAAAACGAACGCCGGCAAAATCGAAGAATAAGCAGACGAAAACCTACCTGAAAGAGGATGCCGAACAGAGGTCTCAGAACGGATGAACAGCAGAAAAAATTACAGGAAAACAAAGGGGGAAAAGGGCAAAAAAGCCCGAGAAAAAAAAAACGCAACCTATAAGCAGAAGTAAAGAGAGACGCAGTTCGTGTATCTATCTATCTCTCTCTCTCTCTAAAATTGTCTTCCCCTTCCTGGGTGGTGATGGGTGGAGCCCGCGGAGACGAAGGAGCAGTCAGCAAAACTCAAACAAGCAAATCAACCAGCCAACCAAAATCGGTTCAACATTACTGAATCTAAACCTGGGTATACTTTTCTTTATTTTTCCGTTTTGCTCCCCTCAACTTCTTTTAATATCGATTTGACCCCATTTATAATTGCAAATCTCTAATTATTCACCACTTCGTTGGGGGTACTTTAGCCTAATCGCCCTAATCTTATTTTCCAATAAAAAGAAAAAGAATCTCATAAAATTTATATTTAAGAAAATTAAAATAGAATTTCCAAGGATTAGTTCTAATATTTCCATAGTGTTCATTGCAATAAAGATTTTTTTTTTATAATTAAACGATTTGATTATGTTGTGGGCCGACAATCGAAAACAAACGATGGTTCGATCAATTGATAACTTAGATTTTTGAAGGCTTTTAATGAAGCTATTATACCTCCAAATTGAATAATTATGACATTTATAGAGGAATTTATGACAACATAATATATATTGTGTTGGAAATTAAAAGTAAACTTGTCTCAAGGACTACCACACATATATAAATTATTAATTAAAATAGAAAGAATAAATTAACCAAAGAATTCAACTGATATTATTTACAATTGGAGGAACTGAAAAATCTATGGTTCAAAAGTCCCAATAATGAGTACTTCTATTCATCATTCTTGAAATATATATGTAAGACTAGAAACATCGATTGATTTTGCTAAATAATCGAAAGCAGTTGCGAATTTGGAAGCTTCGATTATGTAATTTGTCATTTCTTTGCTTTTGCAAACCGCAGGCAACGGTACTTTTCACCGCTGACGGTTATTTCGAGAGCCCCATCTTGATTGTCTTGATTTGATGCTGTCCCCATTAGCACGCTCTTTTCTTTCTCGAGATTTTCTCTTTCAATCTTTAGCCTTGCTTCTTGCCTAGCAATCTCTGCCTGAATATTGAGCAATCTCGAAATAAGATTCTTAATCCAATTTGAAACAAGGTTAAAAATCAACCATCAAATACTCAATAAAGTTGACTTTCATCAAGTGTAAGTCGAGTTTTATTACAGAAATATGATGTGCAATGGATTTATGAAGATGTATGAAATGCTAAAACCAGGTTCATTTGGAGCATTTCTAACAGTATCCGATCAATCTAACAGAAACTCAGAGTAAGCAAATAAGAATCGAAAGATGCGTTAGAAGATATGTGACATGGATTCATCTTCTACAGCCACCTATATTAT